GTCATTCCGAATATAATCATTGATCCAGACAAAGCCTATAAGAAATAGTACATCTCTGGCTTAAATTATATATTCTTTAATCGAGAAAAATCTGGAAGGCTTGGCATTTCCCAAAATGGCAAATGTGAAATGCATATCAGAAACTGACATATACAGCTATTCACATGCAATTAAAATCGTTCAAAATGTCTGTTAAAGTTCAATGTCACTTGATTAAAAAAATCCCGTAATCCTATTTCCCTTTAGATTTACAGCCTGTAGATAATTTATAACGCATAACAATGTATCTCAATTTCATATGATGTAAATGAAAATAATGTTCTCACAAATTAATGATAGTTTTTGTCTACTTGTCATTAATAATGTATGAGAAAGTGCCAACAGGACATTTCCTGAAGAACCAAGAAGTTCAATGGTTCACAGATTATGTAGTACCAATATATATATGACAATGCCAACACACACCAGCTCAAAACGCGGGAAACGAAAATGGATAAAGCATGCTCTTCCAATTACCTCCCGGGTAGAGGTGTGTGTGAGAGAGCGCGTTAATTAGGCGTGTTGTGGAACATTAAACATATCGTTATGCCTGATAAGTGGTTAATGGGATATGTACACATGTCAAACACTGATCCCGACACCTATCGCCTCATTTATATCACAGTCTCCCAGGGAAATAGCTCTCATAGACAGGTACTCCATAGTAGTGGATCAATATCAGCCAGGTGTCAGGTCAACGTTTCAATCACATCGATGTCTCAGTCAGATCGATATCGCAGGTCAACGTTTCAATCACATCGATGTCTCAGTCAGATCGATATCTCAGGTCAACGTTTCAATCACATCGATGTCTCACTCAGATCGATGTCTACACTATTGTAACTAAGATGTTTCACTCAAATCGATGTCTCACTTAGACCAATCTCTTACTTAGAAGTCTAACTCAGATAAATGTCTCGATCAAATCGATGTCTCACTTAGACCAATATTTAACTCAGATTGATGTCTCAATAAGATCGATATTTAACTCAGATCGATGTCTCAATCAGATTGATATTTAACTCAGATCGATGTTTCAATAAGATCGATATTTAACTCAGATCGATGTCTCAATCAGATTGATATTTAACTCAAATCGATGTCTCAATAAGATCGATATTTAACTCAGATCGATGTTTCAATCAGATCGATATTTAACTCAGATCGATGTTTCAATCAGATCGATATTTAACTCAGATCGATGTTTCAATCAGATCGATATCTCAGGTCAATGTCTCAATTAGATCGATATCTCACTCAGATCAATTTCTCCTAACCGCCCATCTATTAATACGAATGTATGTACATCAAACTAGGTAATGATGTGAGGCCAGTAGGTAAAAGTTAACAGTTGATATATTATATATATAGATACGTGTTGACATAACTGATTAGTACATTTTATCAATAGATGAAGGAAAACTTCAAGATTCGTGAGGAATTTAATTCAATAAACTGAAGTGGAGGGGACAACATGTGTTCTGGTAACCTCAAAGGTTCAACTGTAAACAGGAGGCAAAGCCCAATGCCAACCGTTTGGCTGAGGGTTCACCAATACGTCTGGCATCAGCCTACTCCTTATGACTGAAATAGTAAGAGACACTTTTACACAGATTTAACATAGAGACAGTATTGAAGGTATATAACTAAATGCATTTCAATGATACCATGTATTTAATCGAGGAAATCTGTACAAAATAGCTGACTCGATCAAGAACAGGAAACTTAACGTCTTACTATAGGTACGAAGACATCACCTGTACATGGCTTACCGTTTGATCCAATTAGTGGAATTGGCCCAATAAGCAATAAATCGCAATCGGTTTACCGACAGCTGTCATGGAAACAAAGTTATCTGTGAGATGTATTTTCCATATATAGAAGGTTTCACCCCCTCCGCTTTAGATTATGTCCCGAGGTTCACCAAAGATCAAAAGACAAAAAGTCGAATATAACGTCACATTGCTCATACTAATTATGAGAGGAACCATAAGTTAGGTGAGGAACCTTTAATGCGTAAGTTAGGCAAAGAAACCTAAAACATATATTTGTAGAAGTTAGGCAAAGAAACCTAAAACATATATTTGTAGAAGTTAGGCAAAGAAACCTAGAACATGTATTTGTAGAAGTTAGGCAAAGAAACCTAAAACATATATTTGTAGAAGTTGTGCAAAGAAACCTAAAACATATATTTGTAGAAGTTAGGCAAAGAAACCTAGAACATATATTTGTAGAAGTTGGGCAAAGAAACCTAAAACATATATTTGTAGAAGTTAGGCAAAGAAACCTAGAACATGTATTTGTAGAAGTTAGGCAAAGAAACTAAGAACACAAAGGTTAGACAGAGAAACCTGTAATGCAAAATGTATTTTTAGCAAACAATGATGAACTACTTACCGGTATATTATTACTAACATGAATGTTCGTGTTACAGGTGTACATAAGTCTAACAGTGACGTCAGGAAATAAATTATATTTTATTGATAATTGTATAATACTAATATATAATCTACCAAAGTCTATACAAACCGATCAGATTTAATACAAAGATAACAAAACAAACTAATTTTTTTTAGTTCATTTTGACCTAAATATCGTTATACATGTAAATGTAGCGTCCGACAGATGTACCAGTCACTGTGTTGCAGCACTACTCCTTACATCTATTCCTGTTAAGTTTCCGGATACTATAGATACCGTATAATGGCTACTGTTTTTAGAATTGTCAATATCTGAATTCCACGCAGCGAGTACGAGTGTTTAACTAGGTATGTAGTTTATATATATATAAACAAAACGTGTGTAAGTGTGTAACAATATATATATGCGGGTACGTATATGGCGGACGTCGCTATAGCGAACTACTATGTGACGTCATAGCGTATGACGTCACAACATATACTTCAAATAAACAGTCTGAAGAATATCCTAGAAGAGATGAAAGTACTAAAGACTCGGTGTTGAGAATTTTTCTTTTTATATATATATATATAAACAAGGTGCCGGAAGTAATTTATAGATTATAAGTTTAGTTAAGTCATTTCCGGAATATATAAATATGATAGTCTGCGTACATTCTGAGAGCTAGTTTGTTATTTTTTTCTCCCGTTATTTGTAATATTCTGTATGAGATAAACGTACCAGTGCATAAGATTGCCTCCGGTTAAACAATAATTGTATTACAGAAGATAATACGATTAAATCATTTCCGGGATATCATCAGTAAACGATCCTGACACACAAGAGAACCAACTGTTATATTTGTCACGTACGTTGTTTTCTGTAACAACTCACAATAAACGTGTAACAGCAAACAGCAACCAACTTCTTGTACGTCTTAACACATGTGTATAACATACAGTACACACGTAACAGCACACGTGTATGACAGTACACAGCTGACGTGCAACTAACACATGTATGTAACAGATAGCACATGTGTAACAACCCACGTGTAAAACACACATTACACGTGTACAGAATACACAACTCACGTGTAACACACGTGTATGACAATACACATCTGACGTGAAACTATCACATGTATGTAACAGATAGCACATGTGTAACAACACAACACACGTGTACAGAATACACAATTCACGTGTTACAACACACGTGTATAACATTACACAGTACACGTTTAACAATATGCAGTTCACGTCAACAACACACGTGTATAATAATACACAGTACACGTGCAGCAACACACATGGATAAAACAGCACTCATGTAACACGTGTGCATAACAATATACATTACAAGTGCAACAGCACACGTGTATATCAATACAAATCATATGTTCTGCGACACACGTGTATAATATACAAAGCACACGTGTGACAACACACGTATAACAATATACAGTACACTTGCAACAACACAGGTGTATAACACACTGCAGACCTGTATAATAATACACATCACACGTGTGACAACACAGGTGTGTAGCACAACACATGGGTACTCAATACAGAACTCACGTGTTACAACACACATGCATAACACAGATAGCATGTGTAACATTACACGTGTATACAGCACCAATACACTAACCACATATCGTACGTGTGTACACACGTGTATAACAGCATTAACACACATGTGTAACACTATCCGAACATGTGTTACAACAGACAGCACCCCCCCCCCACACACACACACACACACACACACACACACAAGGATCCGAAAAGCAATTACAAAATGTACATGAATCCTAATGTGTAGGAGTATTATTAGACGTTTATGCCAACCCTCTTCCCGACTGATGGACTATACCAGTAAATACCACTTCTGGCCCAGCACCAGTTGTACGTGTGTATGGATCATTAACATCGACTGAAATGCACATACTCATCAATATAACACAAAACTGACATCAAAGTATAGCTGTTTAAGTGACTCGTGCTGTTACAGTATCTGCTGTGTATGTAATAAGGATAGGATACACGTGTATTGCTATGCTGCCTCTGCTGATAACTCATGTTCACTACATAGTTGACATTCTATATAAAACATTCCGATGCAGATAATGTAGTTATTATTGTATAAGTGCTGAAAAATAAATTCAATGATATCGACCCTCTTTTATTTTTCCCGAACAAGAAGGAAACCTTTTTCTCCCTCTCCCAAACGAAAAATAGGTATACTATAATTTGGGGTGGAGGTGGGGGTGGAGGTGG